ACAAACATGCATACATTGCTACACATGACTGTCCTCTGAGTCAATCATCTTCAGGAATTCAGCTGTGCAAAGGACCATGCCAGCGGAGCCTGTTGGCTGTTGTATACCCCTCATATAGGGAGGAGTGTCAAGGGTCAGGAGACCCTCACCTGAGTTCTAGCCTCTCCATATCACTTCCATGCCATTTTGCCCTAACTGCATTGCAAGTGGTCTGGGAAGGAGCCAGAGGACACGAGGGGCATGGGACTCCACCTAAGCAGCTACCAGAAAGCCATCATCCCTGCTAGGTCAAGACTTTCCAGTGTGACCTTTGGCAGAGAGGAAGCACCCACACTCCCGTGAGTTTCCCTCACTTGTATTCTGTTAGTCAACCCATGAATTCATTGGCTCCCCAGGGTGAACTTTGGTGGAGTTGAACCTCAGTTTGTTGACGACGTGGAAACTTAAGGGTTCTTTGGAAAGTCAGTTGTTCTGGATGGTGTTTTGCTGGGACAAACACGTGAAGGAACATTTTGCTCAAGTGGACACAGGTAAAAGGCTAAGGCAGACTTGTGAAGGGATGCTTCACTGAAGCAGACACAGGAAAGAGGATATTCTGCTAAAGCAAGCATGTGATGAAGGATTCTTTGCTACCAATACATGTGTATTGGTCCACCTTCCATTGTGTAGTTGAGTTCCATCTGTCAGGACGCCATAGACAGAAACATACCAAAAAACTTCTGGTGGTGTGGTATGGTTTCTTACCGCTTCTGTGGACTCTAGGATGATTGGCAGAGTGATGCCAGCTGACAGACTCATGTGGAGTTTTGCTAAGACAAGCTCACATGCTGAGGCAAGACATGTGGTGAGGCAAGACTCATAGGGGATATGTGATGTTCAGAGGGACTATAAATAGGGGTCAATGGACAGTGAAGAGAGAGTTGCTGGTAGAGTGAGCTGTGCAATGCTTGTTGGTCTCACCTCTTCACTGATCTTCACTTTGGTGAGAGAGGCACAGCTGAGAACTTTTCCTTGCGTTCCTCTTGGCCCTGGTCTCTCCTGCTGACACATGCAGATTCAGCTGAGGCCTGTCTGTTTCTGCTAGGTCATGCCACCACTGCTGCTGTCCCAACTCTACTGAACTGGACTGCTGGTGTATCCGTGAAGTGTTTGCAAATGGATCAAGCTGCTGCTGTTGACCTATAAACTCAACTGCTGATTTCCTGACAACTCAGATGAGATTTACTCCAAAGAACCTTTCTAAACAGGTTCACTTCCCCTGTAGTGGTGGGCTAGAAGAGAGGTTAAAGCATTTAAGAACTATCATTAAAAATAGGGCTTGAAAAATTAAAGTTACAGTTTGTCATTGGAGATTGTTTTCCCTGGGAAAGAATTTTAGCAATACACACATGAAAGAGAGAAAGCAAAAAAGGAGGGAGGTTAGAAGGGAAGAGAGAGAGAAAACCGTACTGGGCTGGCAGCTCCAGGCACTTAAAGAGCCAGTGGTCCTATGGGCCTCTCCACTGTAAAGTGAACCCTTTGCTTGGAGGCCATGATTGAAGGGAACTTGCAGGGAACCCTGGACATTGGGGCTGGCCTAGGTGCTTGGTCAGACAGGCAAATATGGCTCAAGATAAGCATTGGTGAAGCATCTGTTCTTTGCCAAATCAATGTGCCCCTAAGTAGCTGGTGTGTCTGTCGAGGACCAAGCTTCCAGCACGGAGCACAGAAGCAGCCCTGGTGAGGAGCTAGTCCTGCTGAGGAGGTCCAGTGGGGTCTCCACGGCCACCACCATTGGTGACTGTTCATGCCCATAGTGCATGCCCTGACATGGGCACAAAGATTGGTTGTTTCTACGCTCCCTTCTGAAATGGGATTTACATGACAGTCTACAAAAGTGCTGGGTTACATGCATTGTGGGGGGGGGGGGGCGCAAAGGATTCTGCCATTAAGAGTGCTTGCTTTGCAGGCTATGGTGGCGCATGCCTTTAATTGCATGCCTTTAATTACGGTGCTCAGGAGGCAGAGATAGGCAGATCTCTGTGAGTTCATGGCCTACCTGGTCTGAGTTCCAGAACAGCCAGGTCTACATAGTGAGATCTTGTCTCAAAAAAAAAAAAAAAAAAGAAAAAAAAAGCCAAAACCAAACCAAACCACTTGCTGTTCTTGTCAAGGACCTGAGCTTGGTCGCCAGCACTCACTAGGGTGGTTCACAACCACCTGTAACCCAGCTCCAGGGGAGTCAATGCCCTTTTCTGGGCTCCATGGCCACCTGCACACATAGAGATAAAAATAAAATAAAAACCATGTGCATGCTGCAACATCAAGATCACTCAACAATGTGTTGGCACCATCTCACATGTGGAGAAACTGAGGCTCAGAGAGTAGGTGCGTGCCGGACATCACAGAGAAGTGAGCCTACAGGGACGGTGATGCACACCTCTGGTACCTCTGGTGGTCTCTGAGCTGCCCCTGGTAGCCCGATGCTCAGCTGCTCCAAGCCCCAGCTCCCCCACAGCTGTACATCTCTCAGAGCCATTCCCTGGCATTTCTAAGCTGGGCTGTACTTCCTGGCCCCCTTCTGAGGCTATCAAAGCCCCCATTCTCTGAGCACAGCTGTGCCAGTACTCGGCTCCTCCCAGCCAAGAAGCCAGGTGTCTGGGCCCCGAGGGGGCTGGCTGCCAATGCAGGAGAGGGTGCAAGTCTGAACAACCCTCCGGGTGTCCACTTCAGATGGGCACACAGTAAGAGCCAGCACTGAAGAGGGGGCTTTGGGAGGCAGGAGCTTTGGGAGCAGCGTGGGTTCTTACCTCAGGTTGCAGTGTTAGCCTGTATGCCCTGTGAAAGCAAAACGGCAGGAGACTGCTGGTTCTTCAAGAGAGCCTGGGAAAGTCTCCAGGGCAGGCTGGGAGGCAGCCAGCTGCACCATGTGGGGACAGGGAAGGCGAGCCACGGCCTGGCCTCCAAGCTTGCCTTCCTCCTCCCTCTTCTCCTGAGCCCTTGGTGCAGCAGTCCAGGGCATGCCGCTTCTGATTCAACCCGCTGACCCTCGTGACACCACAGTTTACCATTTGGCATCCAGAAGACCATTGCGGGTATGAGAACCATCATGCCCTGTTGCTAGGACACGGGTTTGTGCAGGAAAGCTGCCTTTCCCGGCTCTCTTGGCTTCCAGTGCCAAGATCTCTGTCTAAGATCTAAAGGGGTTGCAAGGCGCAGGCCTGGGTCCAGTAGCACCTCAGATGGAGAATAGAAATGAGCAGAGTCCTTTGGCTATGAGTCAAGATGCTAGACTCCATAATTGGAGAAAAGGTACCTATCACCGATGGCTAGAGTTGTGTGTGTATACCTCAGTGCAAATGTCCCCAGCTGGGGGAAAAATGCCCACTGTCTAGAAAGGGCTCCTTCTCAAAGGCTCAGACCCCATGGGCTGCCGAGCCCCTACCCAGAATGCTTGGGGTAGACTTTTGTAAGGGTGTGAATGATGCAGAATAGGATTCCACAGGAGTGGGAGGGGCCCTACTGGGTGGGTGGGGTTATATCCCAGAAGTAGAAGAGGGTGGGTGGATCAGAGGCCGGAGCATCCCTGACAGTTGGCTGCCTGCTGGCTTTGCTGGCCCCAGGATTCCCCCAGGATGTGCACACTGGTAACTCTGAGCAGGGAGGAGGGGAAGTGTCTCTTTCCTGTCTTCCCTGGTCACCAGCAGGTTTTCCCAAAGATTATATCCGAGACACCAGCTGGGCCGCATTGCAGTCCCCCGTTTCCTGGGGGACCTGCAGCCCTACGGAGTCCATGTGTTGGAGAGCCATTCAGGTGCAGCCCAGACCTGGCCCCCAGAACCTCAGAGTCCTTCCTTGCTGGTGACTCCCCCAGTCTTAGGACCCCAAACAGGGCCTGGTGCATAGATGACTTTGGGTTCAAACTTAAGGAATGAATAAATGAAGGCCTCCTGCCCAGCTTCTTCAGGAGCCCCACTCTGTCTCCTTCCTTGCTGGCACCGCTGGTTGGCATTTGTCTCCCCGCGTGACTCTGCCCCGGGCTCCAAGGTCCTTCTGTCCTGTCCTTACAGTGGGCGGCATTTGCTGGGATCCTCTCTTTAAACTCAGTAAGGCTTTGGAGAGGAGTTTGTTTTTTTCCAGAGGTTCTGGAGGCGTTTTGGAACTACATCCACAGCTTGGGGGTGGGGCGTGGTTAGGAAACTGTCCCCTGACTTGGGGGTTAAGGTATCTGCAGGCTGCATTTGGGGATCTAAAAGTGATAAGGTCACAGCCCCCACACCGGCCTTGCTGGCGTCCAGAGGACTGAGGACAGGGATCTGGCTGAGAGGCCTACAGTTGGTGCCAAGGTTTTGCCCGGAGTCCCAAGAGAGAGGAGGAGAGGAGGAAAGTGGGGAGCCTGGGAAAGCAGGAAGAAGTAGCGGGTGAAGGGAGGGCAGGCAACTGGCAGTTCTCGAGGTCCACCCCCAGGCGCCTGGCTGCACACTGGGCAACCCAGCTGGGGCTAGCAGGCTCTCGCTCTGCACGCATTGGTCTGCAACCTGTGATGCCTGCTCCATCACTCACTGTGCGGGCTGGCACCGCGCGCCTAGACTCTCTTGACTTGTGTTGCCTGACCCGCAGGTTTGCTGTTCAACCTCCACCTGGTCAAGGACTACAAAGTCAGCTCCTCCGCTGTGGAGGGAGAGGGAGCATCGGAGGCCACAGTCCGAAGCTTCCTCAAGAGGGGTGGCTGTGGTCATCTGCATCTTCTCTGGCCTCAGAAAAGGACTTCCCGTTTTCACCCAGCAGTGCCCTCTTTCCCGGGGCAAAGCTCCCATCGTCCCTCCATCCTCTGCGCGATGAAGTTTGAAAGGTCCTCCTCTCTTTAACCAATGAGAAGTCCCTCCCGTGCTCTAACTCTCCATCCTGCGTCGCCACAGCGCCCTCCATCGCTCCCTCTCCGCCCCTTCTGCCCTCCCCGCTGCAAGTCCTGGGCTCCGGTCCGCGGAACCTTGTCCTACTTCGCTTGTCCTCGCTCTGGCCGCTGTCGCCCGGAACCGGTTCAGAGAAGGCAGCGGGTCCCGTGACCGCGCAGAGCCCCCCACGGGGGTGGCAAGGTCAGGGGATGGTGGCGAAGGCGGGGCGCGTGGGAAGAAAGGGGGTTTTGTGAGGCGCCCGGCGAGCTGGCGCCCCCGTCTGCGTCCCGCGCGCCCGGCCCTGCTCGCGCCCGCGCATTGCGCTGCAGTCTCGGCTGCGGCTGCGGGACGCGCGGTGTGCGGAGGGGACCTCGCAAGGTGAGTGCGGAGGCCTGGCCCTGTCGGTCGCTTGCTTGCTGTGTGACCTTGGGTAAGTTTCTTGACCTCTCTGAGCCCGAGGATCCCGGCGTGGGCGAGGGCGGGCCGAGAGCCTGGCTGCTGTGGACGACGGGGACAGTCGCCTTACTATAGCTTCCTGTGGTCCCCCAGGCACTCGGGGGCGCGGTCAGCAGCAGCGCCTCTCGGAGGGTGGGCGCACAGCGCACTGTGCCGGCATCGGCACCCTGAGCCACGCGTCTGCTCGTTCTCACTGTCCCCGCCGGGCAGCCTTCAGGAGCCAGGGAGTATCTGGGCTGCGGAGCGGCTGAGGATGCCCTGGCTGGAGACTGGGGGCTGCTGAGCTCGGGTCCTTGTGGTGGCATTCCTTCGGGAAGTGTCAGAGTGCCCAAGCTCTGAACAGGAGCCACTCTTGGCCACTCGGGTCGGAAATTCAAGTCTCAGGCAGTTGGATCCTCTGACCTCAGGCTTCCTTCCTCGTCCCGTGCTGCCCCAACACGGGTAAAAGAGGTGGCCACAGGGCCGGGGTTTGAGGAGCTCCTGCTCCCAGCGTCCCCTCCTCAGAATGCCCCAGCCTCTGACTCTCTTCATGCTTCCCAGCGATAGCCCGAGTTACTGCTCGCACCGCCCGCAGCACAGCACAAGCCAGAGCGGTGCTTAGCAGGGGAGTCTGTCCTGGAAGGATCTGGGAGGACCGCTTAGGCTCAGGCAAAAAGCGACTATGAACGCAGATCTAGTGGGAGGTGGAGCCAGTCAGAATAAGTATGGTCGGGAGGAAATCTTGCCTGATGTCCCAACTGACCCCGGCTGCATCATCAGCCATGTAGACCTGGGTCCCCAAACACTTCCAAGTCTGGCCTGGCTCTTAAAGAGTGTGTTCATTAGCTGTGCGGCTTTCCGTCCTGAGGGCACAATGGCCTGGCTCCTGATTTGGCTCAGAGTTAGCCCTAGCCCTCTCTGGGCATCCACCTCACTTTCCCTATGAGCCTGTAAGCGCAATGGGATCCCCAGAAAGAGAAACTGTTTCCAGAGCTGACTGCCAGGGCAGGGGGGTTGGGGGGGGGCAGCCTCTCCCTGTACCCTTCTCCAGTACACTCCAAGTTGTAGGCTTTCACAAAAGATGGGTGGGGGAAGGAGCAACTGGATGGAGGCCAGACTGGCAGGGACAGGGTCTTTGTCCCAGCTGGCTTCTGAGCCAGGAGATCCGGTGGGAAAGCCCGTGCCAGGCAGAGGGGAATGGCTGGGAGCAAAGTGGGAGGGAGAGAGGGGATGGAGGATGTTGGGCACCAGGGGAAGCTTCCTTACAAGACCTGGTGGAGAGGAAGCCGAAGGAGAAGCCGCTGTTTCATCAGCGTTCAGTCTAGGGGGCCCTCCTGGAAGAGGAAGGGTTAGGCAGGGAAGGCTGGAGCTCTACTGTGAGGGAAAGAAACTCGTGGTTTGCACCTGAGAATGGGGGCCCGAAGGGTGAGGTGGGACCAGTTGTGCTCCCAACCCCACCCCTGGGTCTGTGGGTTTGAGTCTCCAACTCCCAGTGACTGCCTGAACCTGCAGGTGGCCAAGTTCCTCACACAGAACAATGCCTTTGCATCTCACCTACGCACTTCTTTCATACATAGGAGCCCATCTCTGGGTGACTTGTAATCCCTAAGTGTGTGCATGCTGTTCAGGGAACAGTGACAAAAACCTCTTACATGTTCAGTACAGACTCTTTTTTTCTGCATGTTCGATGGGTGGCTGATTTGGATGCATAGATTTGGAATTCAAGTGCACAGAGAGGTGATTACACAGCGCCACCCGTCGCTGTGTTACAAGTATCCCCTGACATCTGTTGTGTGTCTGCCTGCTGGCATATGCACCGGGCGTTTTCTGTTGTAGATTATAGATAGGTAAGATAGATAATAGATAATGGTAACTATGTGGAGATGACAGCTAGACAGACAGACAGACAGACAGACAGATCACGCAAGCATACAGTCGCATCAAAATTCATAAGGTGGTAATGATGGTGCTTCCCCCCCCCCAATTAAGAAGACACAGGGTCAGGGATGGTAAGGACCTTGGCTTAGGTCACACAGTGAGTAGACTGGGGACACCTCTTAGTGCTTAGAGATAGGAATCAGAAAGAGGGTTAGGGGTGAGTCTGGTATGTGCTGCCTGTGTGGTGGGACAGAGAACCGGAGGAAGTCCATCCCGCAATCTAACAACTTTCATCTTTCCTCTTCAAGTTCTTCCATCCGTTTGCAGCATGATCCCACTGCTTCTGTCCCTCCTGACAGCTCTGGTCCTGACCCAGGTCCCTGCAGCCCTCGCCGATGACCTGAAAGAAGACAGCTCAGGTGAGCAACCCTCCAGAGAACCATTGTCACTGCTGCATCTATCTCTCCCAGGGCAGAGGGCTGTCTTGATACAGCCCCAGCCACCTGCTTCCAGCCTAGGTACAGGATATGGAAGCGCTGTGGGCGAGAGCTGGAGCCAACTGCAAAATAGGGATGAGTTGGGGACCCTAGTAAGTAGGGGAGTTTTGGGGTCAGTGTTGCAAAGGGACACGAGATAGGAGGCTAAGGGTGGAGGATCAAATTCAGGACCCTGGGCAGGGCTTAGCACCCTGAACCGGGAGGTGCACCCCAGGCGCCTTGGTCCTGGGGGGCGGGGCTTGGAGCCACGCGCACAGGCGCACTGCGTCCTGCGTCTGGCTGCAGCCGGCTTTGACCCCTGTCCACAGAGGATCGAGCCTTCCGTGTGCGCATCGGTGCCACACAGCTGCGGGGCGTGCTGGGCGGTGCCCTGGCCATCCCATGCCACGTCCACCACCTGCGGCCGCCGCCCAGTCGCCGGGCCGCGCCGGGTTTTCCCCGGGTCAAGTGGACCTTCCTGTCCGGAGACCGGGAGGTGGAGGTGCTTGTGGCTCGCGGGCTACGGGTCAAGGTAAACGAAGCCTACCGGTTCCGAGTGGCACTGCCTGCCTACCCCGCATCGCTCACGGATGTGTCTCTAGTATTGAGCGAACTGCGGCCCAATGATTCCGGGGTCTATCGCTGCGAGGTCCAGCACGGTATCGACGACAGCAGTGATGCTGTGGAGGTCAAGGTCAAAGGTGAGAGGACAGAAGAGAGTAAGATCCCTAGAGAGAAGGAGGAAAGGACTCTGGTCTCCCAGAGGGCTGATTGTGAGGCGGCTTAGCAAATCCTGCAGGAGAAAGGCACGGGCAGAATAAGGAGGCCAGAGATGTGGCGGGAGATAGTCCCACAAAGCTGTAGCGCGAGCACAATTGGACTTTGCCTTTCTTGAACAGGAAGTGACAGAGAAGAGAGGAGAGGTCAGTGTGCTAGTGATCCCAAAGCTCAGGAGTTCTCTCTGCTCCTCAGGGGTCGTCTTCCTCTACAGAGAGGGCTCTGCGCGCTATGCTTTCTCCTTTGCTGGAGCCCAGGAAGCCTGTACTCGCATTGGAGCCCGAATCGCCACCCCTGAACAGCTCTATGCTGCCTACCTCGGCGGCTATGAGCAGTGTGATGCAGGCTGGCTGTCCGACCAAACTGTGAGGTGGGCTGGGGATGTAGACCAGGAACTCCTGGCCACGTCAGGGTGCTTGCTTCCTCCGCCCTCCATGGAGGTTCCTCAGAATTCCCTGCCTCTGGAAAGAAAATGAGCCTGTGGCCCTGCCTGAGCCTTACTTTCCTGCATGCTGACATCCCCCCTCCCCACTTGTCACACAGCAATAGCATTGATATGGGACAGCCTTTTGGGGGAAAAATACCAGTCGTTAGCCTTTTCCTCCCTCTTAGGTACCCCATCCAGAACCCACGGGAGGCCTGCTCTGGAGACATGGACGGCTACCCTGGAGTGCGGAACTACGGAGTGGTGGGGCCTGATGATCTCTACGATGTCTACTGTTACGCTGAAGACCTAAATGGTGATTGAGAGTGACAAGCCCTTCTGCAACATGGCCCTTGGTGTCTTCTGGGGCCTCCACTAGACCTCATGTGTCTAAGGGGACAGGCAGATTAGGCAGGCACTTAGTGTACTCCTCCAAACACTGGCCCAGAGGCAAGCCCATGAGCAAATCTAGCAAATAGCAGACAACTGGGGTGGGAATGGGGCTGGGGGTGGGGGTGGTGAGTTTCAGCAGAGTCCTATAGCTCGAGGAATTGGGGCCAGGCTCCTCTAAACACTAATTTTCATCTTGGATTTCATGCAAAATTTGGTACTATCAGGTGGTCAAGGTGACCCCGTGCCAGGAATGAGCTTGCCTAGGAACCTTTAAGTGTCTAGGTTGGAAGGACTGCCAACTGCCTAATGACCCAGCTCCTCTTTTCACTCAGGAGAACTGTTCCTAGGAGCCCCTCCCAGCAAGCTGACGTGGGAGGAGGCTCGGGACTACTGTCTGGAACGTGGTGCACAGATCGCTAGCACAGGCCAGCTGTACGCAGCCTGGAATGGTGGCCTGGACAGATGTAGCCCCGGCTGGCTGGCTGATGGCAGCGTGCGCTACCCCATCGTCACGCCCAGCCAACGCTGTGGGGGTGGCCTGCCAGGAGTCAAGACCCTCTTCCTCTTCCCCAACCAGACTGGCTTCCCCAGCAAGCAGAACCGCTTCAATGTCTACTGCTTCCGAGGTGAGTGGCCTCAGGGGTAGTGCCAGGCCTGGAATTCTAGCCTTGCCCTCACCATTCTTGGCCATTTGCCCATAGGAATGTGGTGCCAGCTTGTCATTTAGCATCTGGACATCTCCCCTACAATCTCTGCACAACTTCACCTGCCACCCCTCAGTAGTCTGTACTAGCTTCTGCCGGTTTCAAAGCTGCCTTAGTCCTCGTGTCTGTTAGCATATTGGCCAACAGAGATGACTGACATTCTTTCACTTCCATGAACCAACTGTTCTGTTCTTCAGTGAGCAAAATGCACGTGGGAGTGGAACACTCCTTGGAGTGTCCCAGATCCTACAGCTTACAGGTTTCAACACTGAGTATTGAGGAGGGGACAAAGGGGTGGTACTGGGAAGCCAGCTGAGTGCACATTCTGAGCCAAACACTTTGTCCTGAAAGAATCAATAAGAGGCACTAGTGTGGAGGGGCAGGGTGGGAGAGATGGAGGACAGATGTAGGTTTGCTGGTTTGTGATGGCCTGGAGCAAGGCTCGCTGGAACGGGTCATACGGTCCTGTCTGTCCTGGCTAGAGATAGCCCTCTAGACACTTCTTGGCCCAATTCTACTTTGGAGTCATTGGCTGTGTTCCCTCCCCAGAAGATGAGGTAACTCTCCCTGAGCCACTGAGCACTGCACCCAGAAGATGTTCCCTTCCTTTTTCTGTTGCTGTAGCTGAGCTCCAAGCTCCTCAGACAGTGACCATTGAGTGCTGTTCCTAGGGGGATGGAGTCCTTCCCTTCTCCATGCAAACCTAGCCTGCAGAATACAGAGCCTCCACCCACCCACTCCATTTTCACACCTAAGGAAGCAGCTCATTCAGCCTTTCCAGACCCCTCTGAAGGAAAATGAGCCCCCCACCTTGTCTTACTGCTTCTCAAGAGTTGTTTCTATTGTGTAATGTGTTTATTGCCTATGTCTATTTTCTTCAGGTTTCCCTAGCATTCTTTATACCACACTCAGAGAAGGCTTAGCCTAAAACTAACAGGTACTCCATTAGTACTCAAGTGATGAGTGATAAAATCCCAGGGGGCACTTGAACTCCCTGTGAGGAGCCATGGAAGGATGAAGCATAGTCCAGGACCTGTGGAGTTCTAGCCTAGAGCCTCAGATGCAGGCCATACCCTGGGAGGATTCATATGCGTACTTAGCTTCCCACTGGCCTTTTCCTCTTGCCACAGACTCTGCCCATTCCTCTGCCTTCTCTGAGGCCTCCATCCCAGCCTCTGATGGACTCGAGGCCATTGTCACAGTGACAGAGAAGCTGGAGGAGCTGCAGTTGCCTCAGGAAGCCATGGAGAGCGAGTCTCGTGGGGCGATCTACTCCATCCCCATCACAGAAGATGGGGGAGGAGGAAGCTCCACCCCAGAAGACCCAGCTGAAGCTCCCAAGACTCCTCTAGGTAACTGTAAGACTTTACCTTGGGTTCTCACTACCTGAGAGAAGTTGGGGGTAGGAGGGTAAGCCCAAGTGGACACTGGGGTCATGACTGGCATAATTCTGCCCTATCACTCTTCCAAATTTGGTATTCAAGTAAATTCCACCCTCAATTCTCTGCAGCTAAAGAAATTTGTGTTTAGAGAATGCTATCTAGGAAGGAAATATATTCCTTACCTACCCCAGACAGATTGGAAAATGTTGACAGACTAGAAGAGGGAGATGCAACAACCTTTTCTGCCAGAGCTAGAGGCAGTTTGCAGAGCCCTTCAGCGTGTAGGCCAGGTCAGAGTTCTTCCCTACTGGCAGCGCACCAGGAGCACCACCCCTCCCCCTCCCGTGAGGCCCCACCTTTCCCCCACCTTCCCTTGCGTGGTCTGGGACGCTGTCCCTGGTGCTGAACTGTCTTGCTATGGTCAGAATCGGAAACCCAATCCATTGCACCACCTACCGGGTCCTCAGAAGAGGAAGGCATAGCCCTGGAGGAAGAAGAAAGATCCAAAGACACAGAGACTCTGGAGGAAGAGAAGAATCAGGAGGACCTGTGGATGTGGCCCAGGGAGCTCAGCAGCCCTCTTCCTACTGGCTTGGAAATAGAGCATTCACTCTCCCAGGTGTCCCCTCCAGCCCAGGCAGTTCTACAGCTGGGTGCATCACCTTCTCCCAGGCCTCCAAGGGTCCATGGACCACCTGCAGAGACTTTGCTCCCCCCAAGGGAGGGAAGCCTCACATCCACTCCAGATGGGGCAAGAGAAGTAGAGGGGGAAACTGGGAGCCCTGAACTCTCTGGGGTCCCTCGAGAGAGTGAGGAGGCAGGGAGTTCCAGTTTGGAGGATGGCCCTTCCCTACTCCCAGCTACATGGGCCCCTGTGGGTACCAGGGAGCTGGAGACCCCCTCAGAAGAGAAGTCTGGAAGAACTGTTCTGACAGGCACCTCAGTGCAGGCCCAGCCAGTGCTGCCCACCGACAGTGCCAGCCGCGGTGGAGTGGCGGTGGCTCCCTCATCAGGTAATTCTGCCGAAGGCTCAATGCCTGCTTTTCTCCTTTTCCTCCTCCTCCAGCTCTGGGCCACCTGACTCGGCCTTTAGTCTACCTTATCCCTGGACCCTCTGGTCCTTTGCCCTCATTCCCTCTCCTGTCTCTCCCCATGGATCTTCCTTCCATTCTGTCACTTCCATCCCAGTTCTCTGATCTTCTGCTCCCCCAGCCCCACCACTGACCTGTGGGCCCTCTGCTGTAGCTCACATCTCACTGGCCACACGAATGTCCTCACGCCTCTTCCTGGTGCCCTCACCAGCCCTCCCACCCCTTGAAAGCAGGCCCATCGTCTGCTGTTCCCTCCCTGTGCCCAGTGCTCCATCCCTTTAACCACCTCCCATCGATTCCAAGGAAGCCCGAGAGACCATACCTGCCCCTCACTTCTGGGGACCAGGATACTCACCCCAAAGAGCCTTAAGCCACTACTTCTGTGAAGTATTTTTTGACTGTTTCATGGAAAACAAGCCTTGGAAATAAATCTGTATTAAACTGCTTTGTACTCAGCCGCTGACACCCTGCCCATCTCCAGCTGTCTTTTCTGCTCATTGCTGTGTCTGAATCAGGACTCTCTGGTTCCATGTACCCTCTCCATCCTCTGTGCCTCTCCATGTGTCTCTTTGCCACTCTTCTTCGACCAACATCCTTGCTGTCCCAGCGGGGCAGCAGCTTTTTACTGCTGCCACTGTCTCTCCCTGGGCCATCTACACTTCCCTCCATACTGCTGAGACCCCAGACTTGACTGTACATATCACCCAAGGGAGTCCTCCATCACCTACAGGAGAAACCCACACTGCCTGGATATGATGTGTAGCCTACCCAGGTAGCTCCTGCTTGGAGCTGGTTCTCTGGCTTCCCAAGGCTTAAGCATATCATCTTCCTCAGTGCTCCCAGAAAGAGACAGTACTGTTACCCCTGTGCCCAGTGCTTCCCTCCTGCACTAACTCTGCACTAATGACCCCCACCCCCACCCCAGGAGAAATGGTTTATGCTCTTCAACCCAAAGGACTTGGATGATTTGGAACAGAGTGGGGTGGGAAGAAAAAAAGGAGCTGGTTTCCACAGTCTGAAAGGAACCTTCTGTCCCAGAAGCCTAAGGTTCCCATTGGAAGCCCTCTCAGGGAAGGCTGAAGCCCTCCTAGATTCACCTCTCCTCCATGGCTCAAGTGGAATACCACCCCTATGTCACAAAAACTCACCCATTTCAGCTGTCACCTTTTTGCCCACTGGCCTTGGAGTGGGTGTAGTGGGGAAGTGGGGAGCCCCTTAGAGGTCACTGCAGTGTCAGAGTAGAGACAGCCAGAGGCCCCCTGGCCTACTGTCAGGAGGTGGGAAAGAAATGCTTTCTGACTCTGTGGAGTAGAAAAAAAGAAGGAAAATCCAAAGGGGGGGTCCATCACACCACACTGTCCAGCCAAGGTCCAGGCCCAGGAGTCCACAGACAGATTGGAACTTATGGCCTAAAAGGCAAGGACTGAGCCTAAGAGTCTGTCCCCTGGGGTTAGAGGGCAGCCCAGGAAGGAGAGGAGACTGGAGAAGCAGAAAGCATGAGGACTCAGAGGAGCTCAGGACTCTACCCCTTGTCACCTGAGACCAAACTTCACCCTACTTGAAAAACTGTGCATGCCTTTAATCCCCGTACTTGGGAAGCAGAGGCAGGCGGATTTCTGAGTTCGAGGCCAGCCTGGTCTACAGAGTGAGTTCCAGGACAGCCAGGGCTACACAGAGAAACCCTGTCTCAAAACAAACAAACAAACAAAAAAAAAAAAAAAAAAAGAAAAGAAAAACTGTTAGCAGAGGGATGCCGGACACGTTAGATGTTGGCGGAGGGATGCTCAAAAGGCTGCTTGGCTAATGTACCAAATATAGCTGGGTCATCCCAGCCAATTAAATCAGCCCAGCTTCTCCTTCCTCCTCCCCTGAGGCTACCTCGGGCCTTGATCTCAGCTGCTGCTGCTGGGGAGTAGTTCTGGGGGACCTAGTCTGCTCTGTTGGTTAAAGGAGCCACTGTCTCTGGTCATCTGGACCAGAATGGAGTAGATGCTGACCGCTCACCAGCACCTTGGTGGAGCCAGAGAGAAGGTTGGAGAAGGCGGGTGAACCAGCCTGAGACTGGCAGGAATCCAGGTCTCATAATCGACAGCCCTGTACTTCTCCCCTTTCTTGGCCTCTTTCCACTGGCTGCTCAGGGCTCCCACTGGTGGGAGCTTGAGCCAGTCAGGAACTGGGAGGTTGAGAGTGAGGAAAGGCGCTCTGAACTGGGGGTTGGGTGGGCTGGAGTAATGGCCAGCTCCAGGCAGAACTGTTACCTTCCTGGTCTGGAAGATGTCTGAGCTGGGGGACCCGGAACCTTCCCCTGGAAGCTCAGTCTGCACAGCTCCCCCTCATGCTCCTCCACCTCACTTCTCTCCTCTGTCAGGTGACTGTATCCCCAGCCCCTGCCACAATGGTGGGACATGCTTGGAGGAGAAGGAGGGTTTCCGCTGCCTATGTTTGCCAGGCTATGGGGGGGACCTGTGCGATGTTGGTGAGTTTGTTGGAGGACATGCAGACATATCAAAAGCCTGGACCCGACCCCAGTATACTAGTTCCTGAGGTGGAGGGAGGCCACTGGTTTGGGTCTTGCTATGAATGAATTGGCACTTCAGGCAAATTACAGAGCTGGTCTGAACCTTCCTGTCTCCGGAGCAGGGAGGAGGGTATCATCTTTTCCAGCATGGACAACTGTACAGGCCAGAGTTGGAGAGCCAGCTGACCTAGCCACTGCCCAAGAGCCCTCCAGGCTCAGGCCTCCTGGCTGCACATGAGTGGCTCTGAGTCTTCCCCTCCTGCTGCTAGCCAGCCAGCTAAAGAAGCCAATCTAAGACCTGGCAGCCTAAGCCGCTTCCTCCCCTGTACTCCAGGCCTTCACTTCTGCAGCCCTGGCTGGGAGGCCTTCCAGGGTGCCTGCTACAAGCACTTTTCCACACGAAGGAGTTGGGAGGAGGCAGAAAGCCAGTGCAGAGCGCTAGGTGCTCATCTGACCAGCATCTGCACTCCTGAGGAGCAAGACTTTGTCAATGGTGGGTGGAGCCTGGCTTCCTATGCATGACCCAGACCAAACCCACAACCCACTCCTCACCCACGCCTTCCCACTCACGCCTCCCTTCCTTCTCTCTCTCTCTCTCTCTCTCTCTCTCTCTCTCTCTCTCTCTCTCTCCTTTCTCTCCTTTCTCTCTTTCCTTCCTCTCTCTCCTCCCTCTCTCATACCCCTTTTCCCTTCCCTCACTCTTTTTCCTTCTCACTCACCATGAGACCTGTTGTGCACGTGATTGGACTACCACGTGCCCTACATTTGCAGAGCTGCCTAGACTGCTGGGCTCCCTGCTCTCCCAGATGCAGCTGCTTCCTAACTCTGTCGTAGCAAGGTTTGCTCCTCTTCTTTCCCTTCCAAAGTGCTATTCTCCACTTGCATGTCCTTGTGCCCATGGGGTGTGAAGGTTCATTAAGAAAACAGGGAGACAGGCTAGAAAGATGGCTCTGCGGTTAAGAGCACTGGCTCTTTTGAAGGGCCCAGGGTTCAATTCCCAGCACCCATGTGACAGCTTACAACCATCTATCTATAACTCCCATTCTGGGGTTGCCTTCTGCTGCCTTCTGGCCTCTGAGGACACTGAACACAAGTGGTGCACAGACACGTGTGTATGTGAAACACTCATACACATACAACAAAAATTAAAAGCTTTCCAAAAAAAGGATTTAGGAAGAGCCTTTATGATGATAAATCTGATTGTCTTCCCTGGTGGAGGAAAAAAAAGAAAAAGAGAAAAGGTGGGTGAATGCAGTCCATCCTTGGCTGCTTTCCTAGCAGAGGAGCCTGGTTCTGAGCCAGCAGCCACAAGCCAGCAAGATTTGGGGAGTAGAGTTTTTGAGTGGACTCCCCAAAAGGTCATCACTGGTCCAGAAACACAGGGCTTCCTGCTCACTGCATCTCTGGCTTTTTCTCTCCAGATCGATACCGGGAATACCAGTGGATTGGACTCAATGACAGGACCATCGAGGGTGACTTCTTGTGGTCAGATGGTGCCCCTCTGGTGAGGACTGTCACTGCACTGTAGTCTAGCTCACCTCTTGGAAGCCTCTCTGTCCTCAGTAACAGTCTCTGCCTCTTCCTCCCTTTCTGGCCGATTTGTTCCCCTCTTTCTCCTGGACGCCTTCTTTCCGTGTGCCCATCTCTTCTTTGGCTCTTGTCTCCTTCTTGGAGAGCCCTGGTCCTCTTATTTCCCCTCCCTACCTGTCCCAGTCACCAGACCCCGCCCTTCCATATCCTGGGATACCCCCAAATCCTCCCTCCAGTTCTCAGAGGGCATTTTTCCTGGTACTTATGGGGTTTAAGCTTCTCACCACCTCCTCCACTCCCCCTTCCCAGCTCTATGAAAACTGGAACCCTGGGCAGCCTGACAGCTACTTCCTGTCTGGGGAGAACTGTGTGGTCATGGTGTGGCATGACCAGGGACAGTGGAGTGATGTGCCCTGCAACTACCACCTATCCTACACCTGCAAGATGGGGCTTGGTGAGGGCTGCCGAGGGAAAGGGTGGCCGGGACTGCCACATGTAAGAGCAGAGCAAAGCTACCCAGAAGAACCTGTCAGGGTGTACCCCAGACTGTGGGGGGGTTGACACAACTACACTGACCCACTTTTTTTGGTCAACTGCGGCCACTCCTTTCCTCCCCGTCAAGTTTCTGGGAACTATCATCCACAAAGCCAGGCTCTCAGCTTCTAAATGTGAACCTCTTGCAGTGTCCTGTGGACCTCCACCGCAGCTGCCCCTGGCTCAAATATTTGGTCGCCCTCGGCTGCGCTACGCGGTAGACACTGTGCTTCGATATCGGTGCCGAGAGGGGCTGGCCCAACGCAACCTGCCGTTGATCCGCTGCCAGGAGAATGGGCTTTGGGAGACCCCTCAGATTTCCTGTGTGCCTCGAAGACCTGTAAGTGACAGGAGGATACAGGTAGGGGCCACCAGCTACTTGGAAGCCCTGGGCTCAAGACCCATTACGCCTGTCATTCACTGACTGAGCTTAGAGTGACCACTGTCTCTCTCTAAGGCTAACAGAAGGAAATGGGCTGTAGCTCTTGGAGACCTCTTAGGTCAGATGGCTGAGAACATGCAACCGCACTTGGGCTCCTAAGGGCAGGGCAAATATTTTGAAAAGATCAGGGGTTAAGTAGCAAGGACCCAGATTACAGAGGCAACTGAGGAGTGCCGTGCGGAGGGTGAGTATGTTTGTCTTCCATAGGGCCGTGCTCTGCGCTCAATGGACACCCCAGAAGGACCACGGGGACAGCTCTCTAGGCACAGGAAGGCACTGTTGACGCCTCCCTCCAGTCTCTAGGGAGTAGACCTGGAAGACTACTGCCCCCAGCAGGGCCCTCTCACTTCAACTGCCTGTGCTCTTCCCCATGACAGGAGGTGACACGACAGGGGTGGGACTGGAATTCAAAGGACAGAGGGGTTTCTGGGAAACATTTGGGTGGCTCCGCCCAGCCTAGGCCCGGCCCCCTCATACAAGGGCCTCAGGTTTTACCGGGTAAGTCCCTAAGTGCCTCAACTGCCCTCTCATGTCTGCTGCCTCCTTGTCCCTCGATTTCTTTAGGGGACACTGTGCTACTTGTTCTTGATTTTCAAAGGGTTTTTAGGATGAAGTGCCAGCAAAACCAGGTGGAAATAAAGTTGTTTGAACCCAAAGTTTGATGCTTCTGTGTACATGTGGACATTCAGACAGTGTTGGGCAGCCCCTCCAAAGGTAGGTGCCTTCCTGAGATTATTACTTTACAAAAGGTCAGAGAAGTCACCAGGAACTTGAAGAATAGAGCAATGCCTGGGGCAAAAGGGTTGCCCAGCCATGAGGATTCATCACTGCCTGCATCAGGTCACCAGCCGAATAGAGTCGGGTCTGGGGAGACGGGGGCCCCTAGTGGCCTGATTTTGAGCTTCCGAGAGTGCCTCCGTTCCTGCAGCGTTTAAGGGAAGATTGGGCAGCGACAAACAGAAAAGCAGTGCCGGCGGCGGGGGCATATTAATAAACAAGCTAAGGAGTCCTCCGACACGCCAAAGGGTTCACAGGATGTGACCAGTAGAGGGCGCTGCGGATACAGTTATGTAGCTCTAGAGGACGAGGTGGATCCGGACCAGAGAGGGGCCAGGAGGCCACCAGGGGGCGTCGCGGTCTTTCTGACTTGCGGAGCAGAACTGCTAGGCGTTCGGGGCAGAAAGCTGTGCGGGGAATGCAGGACTTCCGGCTGGCCAGACTGGGCTGGCCCCCCGGCTGAGTCAGCGGAGGCTGAAGTGATGAGGTCACTGCAAGCTAGGAAGTGGATGACCAGTGCCGGAATCAGCCAGAGCTCCATGGACTCCTCAGTGCAGCCTTGCATTGGTTGGAGTGCCATTCTGATGGAAGGCAAATCATGACTGCAAATCCTCACACCTGGCCCACTCAGCATTGAGGGCCACGGGGACGAACGCCTTAGGCTCATTAACCCACCTGGCCATTCTTGGTCCTTCTAAAAGGGCCAGCCGACAAGGACAAAAACAAATGGCAAAGGATACAGATTCAGTACAGAGTCCCAAACAGAGGCTTGGGAAGGTAGCCCTGAGGACCTGAGACTCTCCTTCTTCCCTAAAAAACCACCGCTTTCTCAGACCTCACCATCTTCACCATCGTCCTCCTCCCTCCAGCCCCTGGGCTCATCTGTCTGCCCACACAGCCAACCCAGAATAGCCAGAGAGTACAAACTGGTTCTTAAGGATCTACAGGGAAGAGGAGGAAGCTGGGGCCAGAGTGGACCCTGCTTTATCCTTATCGGACTGTAGTTGCCCATTCAATGCATTCTAGGGCTTGTCGGAACATTTAGCTGGAACTGTAAGTGGATGAAGACCCAGGATGATGGGGCCTGAAAAGGAGCAGGCTAGAGAAGAGCCAGTGTCTGTCCTTTGGGTGCAGAACTCACTGGGGTTCAGTGGGTGATTTCTGTATAGCATGGTGGGTTTGTGGCACACCAAGGTTTGCATCATCAAATCTCCCACTTGGCATAGGTCCACCATCTTCTCTGCTCTGTGGGTTAAGAGAGTAACCACAGAAGTAGATGGTAGACTAGAACCAGAATCCTCCACCACCTGCTGGGCTTCTCTGGCAGGGCAGCAAACAGGAAGCCTCCTCCTGGCTTGTTGGGCTTCCTGGGGAAGGGGGGGGGAGGAAGAGAGGGAAGGGGGTGTCCTGGAATGACTCAGCAGTGCCTTGAATGGACAGTAGCTAGCCAGTGCCTCAGAAGTCACACATGGAGCACCAGCATATCTCTTTGGAGTCATGGAGTAAGGCCACACCCCCAGCCACTGCTGCCAGCTGCCACACCGTTGGGACCCCGCCGGGTGGCTTCACACTCAACCCCCTCCACATATGAGCAGAGTGGGGTTCCCAACAGAATGTCTTGTCCCCTGGATGTAGGAGGTATTGGAAAAGAGAGATCCACCCAGGGCAATAGGTAGGGGCTTGAGCATTGCCCCGGGGGCGCTTGGGAGCCTGTGACTTGGCCTTTTGCCAGGTTCCCGCTGCCTCTGGATGCTCTGACACATTCCACCTCCCCGGTCTTCACCATACCCTTGCCTCCCACAGTACTGCCCTGTCCTCACTTGGGGCCTTTGTCCCAGCCGGGAGGCCCTGTCTGTAGGCCTGACTCCTGCGTGGAGAGAGAAAGGCTCCCATTGTCCTAGAGTCCACAGTGACTTAGCAGTTCCCAAAGACTTCTAAAAATGCACCACCGCCTGTCAGAGATCTTTTTCAGGCTCTGTAGTCAGATCCTGGCCCAGAGTGCCTGCCCAGGTGCCTCCTCTCTCAGGGCCTGATGCAACTGGTTTTCCCTTCCCCAAACAGAGGTCCTTCCTGATGCCTGGCTTCTATGTGGCTTACTGCAAAATAGCTAGCTTCCTCCTGGGCAGAAGAACTGAAAAGTTCAGGGACAGAGAGTGAGGAAAGGCTGGGAAAGAGAAGCAGATGGGATGTGAGGATGCTCTCCCACTCAGCCAGTGGCTCAGCTGATAGGCTAAGTGGGTGGACCCTGAGCCTCTGGCTACCCAGATGCCTTGGTGTTTAAGTGGATTGTTAACAGAGAGAAGGCTTCTGACCACTTAAGACTGGAATTAAATACTGCTCATATTTAATACTCAATGAAAGGCAAGCCAGTCTCCTTGGCCCATGTTCTGCTGACCCCAAGAGGCATCTGGAGAAACTACATCATTGACAAGATAGGTCACTCCATGCCTCAGTTTACCCCCATTAGAGTCAGCTGAAGCTCCCTCTACTGTCCTGGAGAGACTGAGCCATTTTGGATGGCTGGGAGGAGGGGAGAGAGGTAAGAAAAGGGAGAGCCGAAGGGACCCCTTGGTGCTGAGTGGTCCATTAGTGGGAACATAGGGCCCCAGAGAAACCTGGGGGATTCCAGGGCTAGCCAAAGTCTCCTGGAGAGGCACCCCTCTGGGGCCTAGGGCCAACAGATTGTGAGCAGCTGAGCCCACAGCTGCAGGGAGGGGGTTCCTCGACAGAGGCCTCCTGGCACCTGCCTTAGTTTATTTATGGAGCCGCAGCTGAGTCAAAAGGGTGGGGAGGGGGGTTGGAGCTGGGGAGGGGAGTCCATGATTGAAGGGGACTCTGAGAGAGAAGAAGAGGGTGCCAGGACCTGGGTTTCAGACACCTGGGCCCCATCCTTTTGGGACAGAGCATACAGAATGGTCGTTAGATTACAGGGGGCATTGACATTGGAGCCCCTGGGCACCCGGACTGGAGAGGGCTGAGGTAGAGGCAGATGTTGAGTTAGGAGGTGGGTGAGGGGGTGAGGGGTGAAGAAAGCAGGGAAGCTGGAAGAAGAAACACCGGTTCCATTGCCTGTGAGAGCAAACTGCTGGAGGCTTCACTCCTCGTCCCCTCTGCTCTGAGCCAAGCAATGCCCATTGTCCTGCGGCAGCTTCATGCTCTAGTGTGGCCCTGAGGTGGCTCCTGGGCTCAGGGACGGCTGCTGGCAACCGTTCTTCACTACCTGAACCAGGGCAGTTCAGGCTCTTCTTCCTCCTCCCAGGAGGACTCACAGCTAACTTCCAGCCTTCCTGCTGTTGTGCCCACCCTGGAATTTAGCCCTCCCCTGACAGGTGGGACGGCATACAATAGGAACTTGGGACCTGTCCCTACGCCAAGTCTTCTCCGGTTTTCTCGGGTGGGTGGGTTCCCCTTCTACGTGTAGTACAGACAGCACATTCCAGACGAAATGAAACTACATTCCTCCATCCCCCACCAGAGAGGTTGGCATCGCTGACAGCAGCTGCAACAGCACAGGTCAAGTGGCAGCAGCTGGCGTCCCAGGGCGAGGCTGGGGTGTGGGCTGTGGGCAGCACAAGAATGGACAGGGAGATTTTCTTTCAGACAATGAATGAATCGTGGGTTGGTTTTTTATTTCCCCCAGAGGCTGAGCGCTGGGGAGGAGGGTCGAGGATGATCTCATCCATCTGAGAACTGTCTCTAGGAAGAATTCCCTTCACCCAGGTAGAAAACCCAGGATCTGAGGAATCAAGGGGCCCAAGAGAGTCCCACCCAGAACGGGTGCCCGCAGCAGGAAGGCAGAGGGAGGGCTCTAAGAGGCCACGCTTGCGCCTTTGGCTGTAGTACAAAGCCTAGACTTTGATTTCCTTTGGGACTCTGGCAGCTACAGGGACAGCATGAGGTTGGGCTGAAGGGAGCCTCTGCCCCTGACCTCACCCTTGGAGGCGCCTCAGCCTGCTCGGCCTTATAAGGAAGTGCCCCAAACAAACTGAGGAAGCCACCTCCGCTGCCCCCCTCCCCAGCCTGTCTCCAGCTAGCTCAGAGGCTATATTTACCAAAGGAGGCCCCAGAATAACCTCCCACTGTCTCATACGGGGTGTGTGTGTGCTGGGGAGTGTTTCCTCTCTTGCCCCCACCTCACTCCTGGGGGTCCTCTACCCTCAGAAGCATGTACAGTTGTCACTCATTCACACTGTACTCAGGGGACTTCCAGGTCCTTGCCTTCCTGAAGCATGATAATGCTGGAACCTTCTGAGAGACCTTGGCCTGTTTTGTGCCCCCCCTTGGACCACTTCTGAGGGTCCCCAGGGTCTCTGTGGGCCTCTCCTCACTCTATAAGGCTCTGAGGAGATTTCAGCTCCTGTCCCTGCTCTCTCCTGAGTCACATGCATATTCTGCTGTCACAGTTCTTTGCTTGGTTCTCTGTCTTGGAAAAGAGCACCACACATCCCGTTGCTTGCATGTAGCCCTGGGACATCTGCTGTCCTGTGCCTGGTCTCCCACACAGCTCCCAAGAGTTCACACTGCTGCCCCATCTTACTACCCCCTCCTGCACCTTGGCCTTTGCCTGCACCACTGACGGGGCTCCTGCTCAGCCCTTCTCAGGAAACAGAACTCCCAGCAGTGACACCTGTGCATAAACCTTTCAGAAATTATTTTTCTTAGGAAGAATCCATGCTTCCTGGCTTCTTGGTGAGGACTTTGCCCCTCTGCCAGGGCTTCCTGCAGTCTCCCCAAGGCCTTCTCCGCTTCCTCCTCCCTTCCCACCACCCTGCCTGCTTTGTCTCCCACTGCTCGGACCTTACCTGTTTTAGGTTTACACACACACACACACACCCTAGAGACACCCCCCACCCCAACACTGGCCACTCAGAGAAGCCTGCCCTGTTCTGCACCCTTACCCAGCATGCATCTGTCTTCAGAGACCATTTCAAGATGGTGTGGCCTTTGCTCAGGAGCTCCTATACAAAGAGCTGTGTTGTAAGTTGTCAGTGTTCCCAGAGCCTGCTCTGTATGAACAGTCAGTAGAATAACAATCACACTAAGGTGGTTGTTATTCTACTGACACAGGTAGAATCACAACCAGGGGTGTCCCTGACACTGTCTAGATCCTGATTCTCTTGCTGCTTGAACACAGGGTCATTTCCACACATACATGCCTCCTACTGTATATCCTCTTAGGGAAGTCCTCACTTCTATCTAACTTACATCCTGACTCCTGTGTCATAGGGTTATTAGCATCAGTGGCCAGCTAGGATAACTGTAGAGGACCACAGGCTTGTGAGGAGACAGGAAGAGGATCCGGTACAAGGCAGGGCTAGTTGGCTTAGCTCTGTCCTTGGTGTCCACCCAAGCAGTGATACTGAAAGGCCTGGAGAGAGAGAGAGCAAAGGATGTCTTGTCCTATTAGAGGGGCAGACTTTGCCTGCCTGATGCCAACATGCTGGTCCCTGCCTGTCAGCTGGCAAATGAGACAGGAGGACCTTGTTATTAGTATACAGGAAGGAGAGAGGAGACTTGGGCTGCCAGGAGGGTGGAGTAGGAGAATCAGGATCCTGGACCCCCAGGGCAAGGGTGTGGATGAAATGGACCCCGGAACCAGAACATGAAGGAAGGGTGTGTACAGAGGAGCTCACAGTGCCAGCTGGCTAAGACAGCTCTTGTCCACCCTCCTTGGGAACTCTTAATCCTAAGGAAAGGGGCCTGCTTGGTACTTGGCTTTTTGTGGGGGCCAACCAGTCCCTTCCCCTTCAGAGTGTCTAGATGAGCATCTGGGCATTGGTCTTCCTCTCAACAGTTTACCTAAGAGATACTTTTTCTTTGGACACCCCAACTTTGAGGCCCATGGGTACCTAAATCCAGGAACCTCTGGTACCTCCATACTCCGCATAAATGTTGGGGGAGAGAAGCCTACTGTTGGGACTGAGTCTGAGTCACTCCTGGCAGTGTGTAGCATTCGCACCTGGCAGCTCTCTTACATTCTCCTGGCCCTGCTAGCCTTTCTTCCCTCTCTTCTGCTTCAGTACCATGGGAGGCCTCAGTTGCCAAAAGCAGAGGCTTCCTCTGGCCCCTCCCCTGTTCTGCCTGGCCACCCAAAGCACAGGACAATCCAGCTTCCTCTGTGTGTGGCTGGGTTTGAAGTTCAGAGAAACTGTTGACCTGAGGCTGCACAGCCAGACTAAAGCGGGCTAGGCCTCTCTCCTCCCTTCCCCACTCCAACCCAGTCACTCATCACAGGCCAGACAACTGTTTGGGTTTGGGAACCAGGGGGCTAATTATGCTGGAGTCACAGAGGGGCTAGTTAGGAGGACATTCAGTGAGAGGGCCCTGTAATCAGTGCTGTGGGAGAGATGACAACCTGGCCTCCCCAAGAGGCAGCACCTCCGGGCCAAGCTCGAGCTCCCTCTCCCAGCCCCTCCACTCCATTGTTTCTCAACCAGAAGAGTCTCTGGAAGGCTAGAAGAAAGTAGCCAGACTTTGTAGGTAGGGATACAACTTTATTCAAAGGAGGAAGAGAAGAACAAGAAGATCTCAGCAGGCTGAGATGAGATGAAAGGTCAGTCATAAATGCTGCCCTCAGCTACTCTGGGCACACACCAGACCTTGTGCAGGTGGCACTACTGTAGACAGGTAGGGCTAGCACGCTCTGGCCAGAGCAGCGTTCGTGGGAAAGCTCTGGGCCCGGGCCTCTTCCAGCAGGCGAGCCACAGAAAAAAGGGTGTGTAGAACTGTAGGGCTCAGCTGACTGAGCCTTGAGGATGATCCAAGCCGGATCTCACCTCTCCAGGACAGATACCACAGGTCAAGTTATCAAAGCTGAGAGCTGGCCCAGAGCAGGGAGGGACATCCCCACCATTAAGTCCTCAGTGCCAGAGGGGCAGTTTCTAGTCTTCCCCTGAGGACCAGGAATCTCCATCTACTCCACTCAGCGTGAACTTCAGGGACTGGCTTGGGCCTAGATGTACAGGAGACCCTACCAAAGGGGCCTTCAGGGCACCTACCTCCTGTTCCTGTAAAGGGAATCCTTGATCCTCGTCCCCATCCAGAACCACCTGCCCCTCAGAATGCACTAGTCCATTCTCCATCCTCCCATTCACTTGCTCTGACTCCAAGTTGGGGTCCTGGCCACTGATATCAAAGGTATCTCCTGCCCCTGGGACCATGCTAGTCACCTCTTGGGGAACATCTAAATGGTCAGTCACTTGACTACCTTCCCCCTCCAAGGAAGCAGACTCGGACGCCTCTGACCCAGAAGGCTCGGCACTGTCCTGAGACACTGTCCCTAGGGCAGTTATAGGAACATTAGCTGCAGCACCTCTCAAGCCATCATCCCAGAGACCACTGATACCCACAGATTCATGTTCCAGGTCCTCTCTTTGGGTGATATCCTGGACTCTGATGCCTCCACCAGAAAGCCCTGACCCCCACCATTGAGCCCCTGACTCTCCTCCGTCCTCATCAGCATCTTCTTCCTCTCCCTCCTCCCCACTCTCTTCCTCATCAGCAAACCCATCAGACTCCCCGCCCTGATCCCAGCACGCAGGCTGCAGTTCTGGGGGCACTTGGCCCAGATGATCTGCCACCTCCTTGGGAACTCCTGGAAGAAGTGAGGCCTCAGTCCCGAGATCCTCAAATTCCTCAGATGATAGGTCAGAGTTGTCGTGGCCTTGTTCCTCCTCCTCTGGTGGATCACGGAGGCCCTGAGCAGCCAGGACAGCAGGACCCCAACCTTCCTTCCTGACCTCTCCTTGAGGAGAAAGGCTCTGTTCTCCAGCCAAGTCCCACTTTGGGGAGGCAGGAGACCTCAGGTAGAGGCCCAGGGGAGTAGAGTCAGGGAGAGTTTCTCCTAGTTCATCAGCCTCACTTTCTTCTCTGCCCTCATCCCAATCCTGGAGGCCCTCGGGGATCTCCCCAGGACCAAATACTGGCTCCCCTTCTACCCTTCCCAGTGCTTCAGACTCAGCTTCTGGCTGCCACCCAGCCTCCTGGATCCCCTCTGCCTGGGGCTGCAGCTCATGTGCATCTGTCAGGATTGGGATGTGTGAACAGGGTTCCATGAGCTTGGGACTAGGGACCGTCAGTGCTGCCTGTGCCCCCTCATCGTCCTCTGTCTCTGGGGGCCTGGGCTGAGGGGCATCGCTGCCCTCGTGGTCTGAGGTCTCCAGTGAGGCCTCCTCTACTCCCCAGCCCTCCATGGACTCAGCCTCTTCGCAGCCCTTGCATTCCAGAGCCTCACTGCTAATCTTGGGTAATTCAAGGAGCCCTGAGTCCAGAGCACCTGCCTCTTTTGGTTCCTTTCCAGGCCCTTCCAAACCCTGAGCTATCTTTGCCTTCACACTTTCCTCCCCCAGGGATGGGTGAATGGCCTCCTTCCTGGCGAAATGCCTTGGGTCCACTAGCCCTACCACTTCCTGCTCGGGTTCCAGTCCAGCTCTGGTAGCCTCTAACCCCAGGGTCACCTCTACAGAGTCTTCTTCATCTGCTTGGACTCTATCCTCATCTTGCTCTGTCACCTCTGACATTCCCTGAACAACTGGGACCTCTAGGGCCGCCATCTGCTCTGGTTGTCCCTCTAGGTTGTTGAGGGCCTCAGCAGGGACCCTCTGCTCCTTGAGCTCAGAGCTCCCCAGACTCCAGGCCTCCCCCACGACATCCTGCAGCAGCTCCCCTTCCTCTACAGCTTCTTCTTCCCCATCTTGCCCCCTCAGATGTAACTCTGCCTTATCCTCAGTTTCCACTCCTGTGGTCCCCAAAGGTTCTTCCTGACCCACTGCTCCATCCTTCACCACATCCTCCCACCTCTGTTGATTTCCAGACCCAGGCAGCTCCTGCTTCACCTCTCCCAGAGACCTCAGTGACTCTTGGTGCCATTCCCTCTCCAGGCTCTCTTCCACTTCCAGGTACTGACTGTCCTCTACCGCTCCTGTTGATTCCACAGTCTCTAGGTTCCACTTGCCCAGAGATCTCAGTTCTTGACTCTCCTTTTCAAGGGGTGTGAGCATCTCTTGGTTCTCATCCACACACCCCAGTTGTTCTTGGGTCTCATCTTCTAGAGGTTCTATTGTCTCGCTAGTCACTTCGGTAGACCACAATGACTCCTGAGTATCTATTGACTTCCTTCTTTCCAGGTCCTCTTCTGCAGTCTCCAGTGGTTGTATATTCTCTGTTTCTGAAGACTTCACTGTCTCCATACCTTTTTCTTTCAGTGACACTAGTGACTCTTGATTCTCTTTGTCAAGAGATCTAACTATTTCCTGGTTTTTTCCAAGAGGCTTCAGTAACTCTGGATCCACCTTTTCTGGTGGGCTCGCTGCCATCTGCTCATCCCCTACAGCCCTCAGTGTCTGTTGGGTGTCTTGTTCAAGTTTCTGTTCCTCTTGGTCCTGAGCTGCTAGAGATCTCAGGGACTCTGGATTCTCTTTTGTTAGAGATCCAAAAGTCTCCTGGCTCTCATCTTCAAGAGACTTCCCTGAGTCCTGACTCTCTTTCTCTAGCTGGCTCTCAACCATCTGGTCCTCTTTTTCTATAGAACTCAATGGTTCATGATTCTCTCCTTCTAGAGATCTCTCTATCACCTGCTCTTCTTCTTCTAGACACCTCAGGAACTCTTGGCTTTCTTTTTCTAGATGGTTCACAATCCTCTGGTCTTCCTCTTCTGGAGGCCTCAATGAACCCTGGGTCTCACTTTCTGGTGGTATAATGCTCTCCCCATTTCTATCTTCAAGAGAACCCAGGGTCTCGTGAGTCTTGTCGTCTAGCAGGTTCTTCATCATGCAGTCATCTTCTTCCAGATACCTCAGTGGCTGTGCATTCTCTTTTTCTAGAGATTCGAAGGAGTTCTGGCTCATTTTTTCTAGAGGTTTCACAATCCTCTGCTCCTCCTCTTCTACTTCTAGAGATCTCAGTGGCCTCTGGTTCCTGCTTTCTAGTGGTTCAATGGTCTCCTGGTTTTCATCAAGAGACCTCAGAGATTCTTGATTCTCTTTTTCTAGAGGCTTCCCAATCCTCTGGTCCTCTTCTTCTGGAGACTTCAGGGACTCCTGACTCTCCTTTTCTATCAGTCTCTCAAGCATCTGGTCCTCTGCTTCTTCACACCTTAGTGGCTCTTGATTCTCTTTCTGCAGAGGACTAAATGCCTCCTGACCCTCTTCTTCTGGAAACTTCAAGGACTCTTGACTCTCCTTTTCTATCAGTCTCTCAAGCATCTGGTCCTCTGCATCTTCACACCTTAGTGGCTCCTGATTCTCTTTCTGCATAAGTCTAAATGCATGCTGGTCCTCTTCTTCTGGAGACTTCAGGGACTCCAGACTCTCCTTTTCTATCAGTCTCTCATGCATCTGGACCTCTGCTTTTTCACATGTTAGTGGCTCCTGATTCTCTTTCTGCAGAGGTCTAAATGCCTCCTGATCCTCTTCTGGAGATCCTGGGAAGCTCTGATCCTCTTTCTCTATCAGTCCTTCCAGCATCTGGTCCTCAGCTTCTGAACGTCCTAGTGGGTGTTGGTTCTCCTCTTTAAAAGTTGTCAATGATTCTAAGTTCCCCTCTTCTGAAGACCTCACTACTTCTTGATTTTCCTTTTCTAGAAATGAAACTGTCTCTAGTGTACCTTCAGGAGACATTAATTCTTGGCCCTCGATTCTTGGGTCTTCTTTTCTTAAAGGCTTAGTTAGTTCAGGAACCCCATTTTCTAGAGTTTTCTCTGCCTCTACATTCTTTTCTTCTAAACACTTCGGTGGTGTTTGTTTTTCTTTTTCTGGGCCTTTTAGTGTTCCCAGGTTCTCTTCTATAGATGAATTACAATTCTCCTTCTCTGATGTCTCATGGCTCTGGATTTTCAGAGACATCAGTGGCTCCTCTCCTAGAGCCTCCAAGACTTCCTTTTGCAAAGGTCCCTGGGAATCCTGGATTTCTTCCATGTCCAGACCACTTTCTTGTGTTTCCTGTGCTAAGCTGTTCTCTACTTTTACCTCTATGGCTGCTTCTTTCTTTATGAGTTCCCAGATTTGCCCTTCTTCTTCCTGGAATATGCTAGAAACTCTAGACTCATTGAACTCTCCATCTTTAGCCTCTAAAATAGGATGCTGGGGGCTAAGGGGTGGGGCTAAAGAGGTTGGGTCAACAGGGAAGTGGCCTGGCTGCTTGCCCCCAGGCTCCTCTAGTTCTGGGAGGACACTAGTAGAACGAGGCACTGTGGCCTCAGCCCAAAGAGGCTCTGGAGCCTGCTGCCTCCCAGCCTGTGTCTGGAGCAGGGAAAGAGGGACATCCTGGGCTCTGACCTCTGCATTTGTAGGACAGGGAGCCTCAGACATAGGTGGGATGGGAGTGCTGGCCAAGGTGGGGGTTCTGGCCTGAAGGAATTCCTGTGTCTTCAGAAAGGCTGTCACAGGAGTCTCAAGGGTATTAGGCAAGAGGGAAGGGAAGGATGTCGGGCTGAGGACAGGGAGCACAGATCCCAGGTGCTGGTCCTCTGGTATGCCAAGAAAATGCAGCTTCAGCTTGGGGTCTGGAAAAGCAGAGTAAGAAACACTGTAAGTATGTCCTGACCTCACCCCAGAGCAGCCCTCACATCGGTCATTTTGTCTGACCCTACTGGCTAGACTAGGAACATCAGTATGGTTGGGACCAGGGAGTGAAGACTTAGACTGATGCCGCTTAGGGAGAGCTTCCAAGGAGAGATTCTAGAGCATTTGGATCTGCCTCTTACCAGGAAAGCCAAGAGAAGCCTGGGAACTCCGTCCAGGTGTCTGCAACCGAGAGTTCTCAGCCTCCAGCAGAGTCCTGGGGGGCGGGGGGGAGGAGATAGGGTCAGCCCCAGCTGAGGTTGCATGTCCTGCCACTGCAGGATCATTCTTTATTGTGACCACTGTCATATGAAAGCCACACAGACATATATCCGCAGATATATACTTGGTCAACCCATATTTGAGACCCAGGGAGACCCCACATGCAGATTCCCACAGTCGGATGCAGGGCCAAGTGAATTGCTAACACTTAGATCAGACTCCTCAGATCAGTCTCCGCCTCCCCACCCAAGGCCAAGGCCGATGACCTCATCCTCTGGGAGAGAGGCTGATTCTCATGCTAATTATTGCCTTTTGTCCACACTACCATCTGGAGGGCCTGAGAAGGGGGGGCTCCTCAGGGGAAGTGGGAATTCTCAGGCTGTTCCCATGGGATGGCTCTCTCCTCTGTCCCCAGAGCTGGTGACAAACAAAAGCAAGTGAATTCAGCTCCCCTTCTCCAAATCCTTTTCAGAACTCAAACACCAGTGGTTACATTCCTCAGAGCTGCCTGGACCCTTCCCCTCAGAGGACTGACTGGAGCTAAGGCCCTCATCTTAGGATCACAAACCCCTCAGGGCAGAGGTCTTTAGGTTCATGCCCCTACCTCCGTGGCCTATGGAGCTGATTGGAGGAGTTGAGGGAAACCAGTTCACAAGGGATTCAGAACTAGTCTCTTGTTTCCATCCACAGCCTCTGAGCACATCTGGTTCTCAAAGCAGCCTTTCCTCTGTCTCACGCAGCATCCCACCTTGTGCATTCAGTCCTTCCAAGACACTCACTGGCTTTCCTTCTCTGGGCCCTACCCTCCAGCTCCTCTCCTAGACCTGTCTCTGGTCTTGGCTCTTTGCCAGTGGATTCTGGAGAAGGGGGACATCCTGGCCTGGCCCCATACTCTGGGGGGTGGGAGGAACATCCTCAGCCTTCAACAGTGGGACTCCAGCTGGGGACCTTTCCCACAAGAGACACAACACAGACAGGGGCTATACACATATCACCAGAGTGGTTCCGCTCAGCCTTCCTGAGGCAACCGAGAAAGGGACAAGGAGCTGGGCAGGGCCAGTAACACTAGGGCTTGAAAGGAGGCAGAAGGCTAGAAGCCCAGCTCTTACCCCAGACACAGCTGAGGCCCAGGCCTGGTGCCAGGTTAGCACGATCAGGCAAACCTGCAAGGTCTCTCTTCTGAGATTGCCCAGATATCCCCAGGATGTTGGCATAGACACTGGAGATTGCCTGCCTTTCAAAGAACTCAAGTGCAGGAGCCTGTACCCTCTGGTCTCCTCTCTGAAGACTGAGCTGCCTCTTTAAGCGTTACCATCTCATCTGTCCTGAACTCCAGAGGGGGCAGGTGGGCTCAAGTGCATGCCTACAAAGCTGCCACATCAGACAGCCTGTTTGATCTCTAGGACTCATAAGCCTCCATCACAGACAAATGCATTATATAAATAAATGTAATAAAAAGTTTTAAGTGAATCTGAGGGCTAGACAGATGGTTCAGTGGTTAAGAGTGCTTGCTGCTCTTACAGAGAACAGGGATTTGGTTCACAGCACCAATGTGGAGCTGCTCCCAACCTATAACTCAAGCTGCAGGGGACCCAATGCCTTCTTCTGGGCTCTTAAGACACTTGTACACATGTAGCATATATACAAACATAAATAGAACGGTTTTACAGAGCGACAGCTGAGAGTCACGGAAAGTACAGAGCCAAGTTTCTGGGCCCTTCAGCCAAGAAGAGTCAACACTGTGTGTACCTGTATGTAGCCACCTCCAGACTAAGGGACATCTTGAGGTGTGCCAGCTGCTGCCCACCTTCCAGGATCTGAGCGATCTGACTCTGTAGACCCTGCTTCTCCTGCTCCAGAGCTTCCACAGCCAGCTGCAAAGCAAGCGGGAAGAGTGAGTGGAAGGGCCCTCTGCACTGGGCCCTGATGCTCCTTACTACTCCTGTGTCTTTGTAGGGCAGACTCCTATTCCTCTACCCATGTCCTCCCTGCCTGGAGCATTGCGCTGGATCCCCCAGACAAGCATAGGGAACACTCCAGGCCTCTCCTAGGCCAGGCTTCTCTTGAGGATGCTGATTAAATGGTAACACATGCTATTGAAACTCTAGCTTCCACGGGAGGAGATGGGGTAAAGGAGAGGAGATGGGTTACAGACCGGAAGAGGAGGTAAAGTGTAAACAGAAAAAAAAGCAATTTATCAAGAGTCGGCTTGGGAGGACTTGGAAGGAAAGCAGTTGGGCCATCACTGCCCCCAGCTCCTCATAGCAGGCTAGGTTCCTCCACTTCCCACGTGTTCTGGAATCTTTCTCCCCCAAGAAGAGTGGGCAGGTGGCCATGTCGGGACTTCTGTCTGGGCCAGGCAAGAGGCTGTTTTCTCAGCTGTTGGTCACATCTGTGCAGTATAAGGGGGAGGATGTCCCAGGCCTTTGGAATGTGCTTCAGGGAGCTGAGAAGCCTTGACACAGAGAGGGGATGGTGGTCAGCGGTGGCTCACCCCGCCTTCCTTCACTATGGTTGCTAAGGACCTTCTGGTGCTGAGGGAGCATGGGCTGGGCACTTTCTGACTGACAATAGCATAGGGAAGGGCGCAGGGAGTCTTCCTAGAGGGAAGCTGCCTCTCAAAGAGTGAAGAGCTGCTACCGTGGGTATTGGCCTCTGGGCCTTTCAAGAAGGCTGTGCTAGGAGGTCTCAGAATTCCATCCATCCATCCATCCTGCCTGGATAGGAAAGTCTAGGACCTGAGCTTGCTCTGGGCAGGGACTCCTGAATACTGTTGCCCTTGCCCCCACCCCTTTCCTGAAGGTCTCTTGCCATCCAGAGGACTTCCTAGGGCTTGGTCTTACCGTGGGGTCAGTGACCCTCCTCACCTGAAACTTTTCAGTGGCCTGCAGCCGGTCCTGCCAGCGGCCTTCCAATCTCTGTTCCAGCGCCTCTCTGCGCTCCTGGAGGCTGTCGCGATCAGCCTGCAGCTGCTGCAGCTCTAAGCGACTCTCCCGAGCGCCCCGCACGGCTTGGCCCAGCCGCTCGCGGGCCTGGCCCAGCGAGCGCTCCATGTGAGCCACGCGCTCCTGGTAGTCACGCACCGCCCCGCGCCACACTTCGCCTAGCCGCCTGGCCAGCTCCTCCACTTCGGGGGCCCGGACGGGGGATCCGTGGGGCGGCGCGGGGGGCCGGCGCGGCACACAGGCGGCCTGAGCGTTCAGGTGCGCGCGCTCCTCCTCGTGTGCGGCTCGCAGAGCCTCTAACTCGCGCTCCAGCTCGGCCGCCTGGGTGCTCAGCCAGCCCCGAGCACTCTTCTCCGCCTCGAGCGCGCGTCGGCTGCTGGCGACCTCCTCGATGGTCCGCTCCCGGGCGAGCCGCACCTGCTGGCACCGGCCCGCCACGCTCTCCAGCTCTTCTGCAAGGTTGTCGCGCTGCACCTCAGCCTCGTGCTTCTCCCGCCAGCGCTGATCGACGAGGACTCGTAGGGCTGCCAGCTCGTCGTCGGCTCGGGCTCGCCAGGAGGCGTCTCCGGACTGTGCCCGGAGTCCCCCAAGCTCAGCGCTGAGCAGCTGGTTCTGCTCCTCTAGCGTCTTGACCCGGGTCAGATAGGCCTCCAGGCGTCGATTGAGCTCCCACATCTGAAAAGATTCTTCCCCCACGCAACCCTCCATGTCGCTGGTCTGGCCCCACGAGGGCGAGCGGACGAGGAGCACTAGAGAAGGGAGTGGCCCTTGGAGCTTTTAAGGGGGAGAAAAGGAGTAGCGGCGACAGTGACCCAGCGGAAGCGGAGGATTCCAGCAGGGAGCTGGAGCGAGGGTATTCATACTCCCGCCGGTCGGGCGGAAAAGGGGCGGCCCCTAGGCCTTAACCCTTTAGAGTTCAGTTCAACACGCAGCCGAGTCCCTGCTTTATCTGGACGCAGAAGAGAAGAACCAAAGTGCAGCCTTGCTCTGGGGTATCCCGTCCGGTGATTTTCTGAGAGAGGCTTGAGATATAGTCAGACACCCTGGAACACCGTAAGACCTCATTTCTCTACACACCCTTACTCAAATCCTCTGAGACTCAGCTTCTCATTTATAAAATGGCTTGGTGTTGGAAACCTCATGAACTGTTGGAAAAACGGACTGTGCAGTGTTTTGTGTAAAACAGTAAATATTCACCCCCAAGAGAGGCAACATTGCAGAGAGACACTGCCCGAAGCAAGAACCCACTGATTACTGAGAGAAGCTTCTCAGTGCTCCGGAGGCTGAAGTAGGATTGAGGCCAGCCTGGGCAGTAACCCCCTGCCCCCTTTTCTTTAGATGGTTGGTATCTCTATATAGCTCACACTGATCTCGAAATCATAGGGATGCCCTTGCCTTAGCCTCCCCAGTGCTGGGATCAAAGGCCTATGCCAGCACCCCTTCCCAGCCAGCCCAGTTGATATTAACAGACATAATGCCCAGTTTGTAACCACAGAGAGACGTCCTCCCCTTCCCAACCCCGCATCAGGAAAAGGAGAATGGCAAGAAACGTCATCAGCTCAAGAAAGTTTTTCTCCTTTGTACACGCTTGTCATTTACTCAGTTAGGAAATTAGGCGGCTCTCAGGGGAGCCCTCTGGTGGCTGACGATGAAGTCTGGAGAAGAAAGAAATGAAGCTGTGGATTTATTACAAGGGACCCATAGGCTCAAATGTTTGAATGCTTGGTGGACCTGTTTAAGAAGGATTGGGAGGTGTGGCCTTGTTGGAGGAGGTATGTCACTGAGGGCAGGCTTTGAGAGAGATTGGAGTAGCGCCTCTCTCAGCCTTGTGCTTGTTCATTGAGATGTGAGCACTCAGCGGCTGCTCCAGTACCACACCAGCCTGCCTGCTGCCATGCTCCCTGCCGTGATGTTCAGAGACCCACATAGTGAGGAGAGAACTGATGCATGGTGCATCTGTATACACACACACAGGCGCGCGCGCGCGCGCGCGCGCACACACACACACACACACCAATAATAACAATAACAAGTCTAAATTCTTTTAAATAGCTGTTTGAGTTGATGTCTTGAGTTTCATCAAACTTCGTTCAGTGAGGCCAGTTTAATCTCTCTCTCTTTTTTAATTAATTAATTCATTTTATGTATATGTGTATGCTGTTGTTGATGTCTTCAGACAATACCAGAAGAGGGCATCAGATCCCATTACAGATGGTTGTGAGCCACCATGTGGTTGCTGGGAATTGAACTCGGGATCTCTGGAAGAGCAGTCAGTGCTCTTAACCACTGGGCCATCTCTCCAGCCCCAGTTTAATTTCTTTTTTTTTTTTTTTTTTTTTTTTGGTTTTTCGAGACAGGGTTTCTCTGTGTAGCCCTGGCTGTCCTGGAACTCACTCTGTAGACCAGGCTAGCCTCGAACTCTCGAACTCAGAAATCCGCCTGCCTCTGCCTCCCAAGTGCTGGGATTAAAGGCGTGCGCCACCACCGCCCGGCTCCCAGTTTAATTTCTTTAATCCCAGCAGTCAAGCCAATCTCTGAGTTCGAGGCCAGCCTCTACATAGCAATGAGTTCCTGGCCAGCCAGGATTACATAGTAAAATCCTGCCTGAAAAGGAAACAAAAAATCCTTCAGTGAATTTTGGTTTGGCATTAGGACAAAATTTCCCACAATTTCTGAAATGGTCCTAAACATACTTCTGCTCTGGGCAGAATGATTCATATGGGGCTGGCATTCACAGCACTGATAGTTACAAAATCAGGATATCTGGGCTGGGGAGATACAAGGATCCAAGCACAGTTCCCAGCACCCACATCCACTCCAGGGACATCAAAGGCCTCTGACCTCTGCATGCATCCAAACACAGCGATACACGTCCATGCAGACATACACACATAAAAATAACAATAAACTATTTTTAAATCAAAGTATGGATCAATTCTGAAAATATTAAAGATGTTCCACCATGGCCCAGAAGTATCAAATGATCAGCCAAGATTCAACTCTACATAAGAATAAACAAGCAAACCTACCATTCACAGGGAAATCTTCTTTCCTCTTTTAAAAATGGAAAAATCATCTGTATACCAAAGATTTGCTCTAACATAAATGTCCTTATGATTATCAGTGTTTGGCTTGTATGCCTGTTCCATACTACTACTGTGGATCATGTAGATTTTCCTCAGGCACAGAGGTCTCCAGTGGGAAGAAGGTAAGAGGCCTTTCTCTGCTCTTCTCAGCAGAGTTCTTTTAGCACTGACCATGTTCTAAAGAGACTGCAAGTACTCGAACATGGACCTTATGACACTGTGCCTTGCGCAGGACTATAGCTCTGAATTTGCCCCTTTTAGCTCAATAGCCTTGGATGAGTCAGTTATGTCGAATGATGTTTTGCTGGGGCACGCAGGTGAAAGGATGTTTTGCTAAAGCAAACATGTGAAAGGACACGTGATGAAGAAGTGACAGCACCAGTGCCGCCAAAGTACCGAGCTCGGGTGCCGGCCTGGGGGACTAAAGGAAGACACAGACTCAGGTCATTTGTTAAGAGAGAATGCCAAAACTTTTACTGAGCAGGTTCAATATATGCACCAAGCCAGGGAAGGAAAAACACAAACAGGAACTCAACTGGGGGACAATGGGATGTCAAATGTAAATTCCCTTCCTGGGGCACCATGCCTACATCGGGATGTTTTGATCCTAGAAAAACCGCAGACTGTTACTTGGTAGGCAGCAGCACACGGAAAGTCTCAGCCAGAGCATGGCAACCCTTCAGGGTTCTACAAAGGAGTATAAGTGTGACCCCACAGACAGTGGGAGACGGGCACTGAGTTTTGGTTTGGTTTGCTCCAGCTCAATATTCTTCACTAAAGATTCGCATGTATTGGTTCTTCATACATAGTGTTGTTGAGCTCAACCTGTGACAACGCTGTCATTGAGAGAAACTCACCCAAGAACTGCTCTCAAGGTTCTTGTGGCAACTTGCCGATTCTGTGGCCTCACCTCGGGTCAGTTGGTGAGCCTGGTGGTCTCTTCAGGATTGAACTACAGTTGCTTGGTGTCTACTTGCTGAAGGGACTGGACTGTAGCTGCTGGTTTGTGACTGTTGTCTGCCTGCCTAGAGGACTGCTCTGCAGCTGCTGAATCATATTTGGTGTTTGGTACGGGACTGAACTGCTGCCAAAGAAGATTGAGCCCCCCCCCAAAGAACTATTGATGAACAGGTCCACTTCCCCCATAGCCTAATGACTTTTCTCTTCCACTACCTCTGCTGGGTGGTGGGCTAGAGAAGAGATTGAACCGCTCTTAAAATTAAGTTGCAAATAATTATACCTACGGGGAGCCGTCTCTCAGCCTTTGGAGGATGCATTCATTATAGGATTGCTGTGGTGTGGGTGTACCCCAGGGCACTGTGAATACTAGACAAATACTCTTTGAGCTGTATTCTCTTGGCTTCGAGGAATCTGTGAGACTTTCAGCTGCAGTATTGTTGTTGTCGTTGTTGTTCCCTAAGACCACAGCATATGGGCAATATGTCACTACACTGGGTAAGTACAAAACAGATCAGAGGCCATTGAGAGCAAGATGTAACGGGAGGTTTTTTTTTTTTTTTTTTTTTTTTTTTTTTTTTTTTTTTTTTTTGGTTTTTCAAGACAGGGTTTCTCTGTATAGCCCTGGCTGTCCTGGAATTCACTCTATAGACCAGGCTGGCCTCGCACTCAGAAATCTGCCTGCCTCTGCCTCCCAAGTGCTGGGATTAAAGGCGTGTGCCACCACTGCTGGACTCGGGAGATATTTTACAAACGGTGCCCGGTCCAGCTTGTTCCTGGGCAGTCGCCATTTTCCTGCTGCTCTGGCTCGGACTGCGGCTCTGGCTACTTAAAAACTCCAGCCCTGGCACCCATGAGATGCCACCGTGGAGGCTGGCTCTGCCAATTCACCACGCTGTTCCCACAAAGCTCAGCTAAACCCCTGACAATCTCCGCCATCCTCACAGTACCGGGTAGAATGAAGACTCTTAATGCTTAAAGATTATTCAAAGGATTTATATATTTAGAAATGCTCAATTAACAAGATGCCCTCACAATTAGAGTTGTTAACTATCCTATCCTTTTGATAGAAGTTGCTACCCAGGACAGCTTTCGACCATGGTTCTCCATGGCTGCTCCCTCTCTCCTTTCTCCTCCCCTTCCTCTCCTTCTCTCCTCCCAACTCCTCACTCCACCTACCTTTCATACTGCCCAATCACCGAGCTTTATTGCAAATGTACCCGCTACAGCAAGAGACAGGAACAGAGAGACAGAGACAGACAACAGAGAGGAATAGAGAGAGAGAGAGAGAGAGAGCTACAAACAGAACCAAGAACAGTAAGATAGGGAGACAGAGACACAAAAACAGGGACAGAGAAAGGCTGCAAAGATAGAGATAAGCCTGTCTTCGAGAAAAAAAAAAAAAAGATAGAGATAAGGAGAGACAGCAAGACAGAAAAACAGTGACACAGATCCCTAAGGGGGCTGAGGTCTCTCTAGGCAACCCAGAAAGGGGCCTGTCCTTGTTCCTGACTATTGAAAGTAGGCAGGGTAAGGTGTTCCATTTAGCAGTGTTGGGGCCTAAACCTAGTGATTCATGCATGCAAGCACTCGACCATGCTAAATGCTTTTATTTTAGCCATGAATCAAGTAGAAACCATGTCTTTCAGATCTATATTTATGGGAAACAAACAAACAAACAAAACAAAAAACAAAAAAACAAGAGATCTTGACAGAATAGGAGAGAAATGAGCTAGGCTTAGCATTATATCTGTAATCTCAATACACGAAGAATT